TCTCTCTCTTCTCTCTTATTTTTAACCACTATTCTGATATGAATAATGTGGTTTATAAGATAGCATCGCTGTGTGATCCTTGTTTCTCTTGTATTTTTTCTCTCTTTCTCTCTCTTTTTCTCTCTCTTTCTCTCCAGGTCTAAAAACCTTTCATGTGTCTAGAAATTTCAGCACTTAAAATAATTTACTTTCAAATATATAAATTATATATATAAATATTTAATATAGTCTATATATATATATATAAAAATAATTAAAAATTTTCATTATAATTAATTTCCATCAATTTAAATTTACACAACATATGATTAATAAAACTTTTTCATTTCTTTATAAATTTTTAATCCATTGTAATCTTAATACGGTAAAAATATAATACAATATAAATGCAATCAAATAGTTAATGTTTAATAAATATATTATAAGAAGAGCATATTTACCTATTTATCCAATATTCTTCGTACGTCAACAATGATTGTCGATAACGGAGAGAATTGGCCTTCGGAAACGATTGGATATAATTCACATAAGACATGACACTTCGGAGATACTGATCAGGGCTTAGAATTTGATTCATGTCTTGAAACCCTGAGTTAATCAGTTTGTCCATCACTGTTGTGCCATCGCTTTTGCCAAATAGACACTTCAACTGCCAGTCCCTTAAAATTGTGTGATTAGTAATTTAAAGTTAATTTGTTTATTGAATTTAAAATTTTTAATTGCAAAATCCACTAATTGCACTCAACCTGATAACCGATAATTTTGTTTTATTAAAATCAATATGATCGCCGTAGTCATCTAGATAAAAGCCCAGAATCATGTGGTAGCCAATCATTGTGTGTTTGTTTGGATCACGCGTCATGTACGCATAATTGGCAAAGTCTATCTCTTGTCCTGCGTTAAGCCACTTTTTACCCGTGATTTCATTAACCCGTTGGACAAGCTTTTCGGTCGGATCCGTAACGTACGGATTTTTGTGCATTTTCTCCATCACAAATCCGCGTATTGTATATTTTGTTAGTATTTGTATATCCCAACGAACATGGTGATACACACTTGTACCACGGTTTTTTAACTGTTTGGGTAAAGTGTCTGCCAAGTTGATAATTGGCGGACATTTTTGAAATATAGACAACATATCTATTTATAATGACACACGATTACACCATTTAACAAAATATAATGTAATTAGTGATCTGTGTTATGGCTGATGCTTTAGACGTTATTTTATAAGTAAATAATATTTTAATATTTAGCACAAGACCATATGGGATGATCTTTTGCCTTATGGTGCATCAATATAAAGAGGCGTTCAGTTAATCTTGTCTACGGCAAAATCGTTATATCTCTTAAACTATAAGAGATAATTAAATTTTATAAAATAATTCAATAACCCCATATAAACGTGACATGCTGATATGCTGATTTTAAATATTGGTCACTTGGTTTTCATAATAACATATACATTCCAAATGTATATGTTATTTCTTAAAATATGAGTTATGAGGATGGTCCCAATACAAAATTTGTTAAGCAATAATAGATGTGTACAATGAAAAAAGAATGATTAAAATCGGAGAAGTAGTTAAGATTTTATGACTTAATGAAGTTGAGTATTCTGTAATGTAATCCTATGGACTAATGCTAAGTTGGCTTAGGGCCAAGTGCCTGTCAAATATATGAAGAAAATCAAGTCTTTGGCAATCCTAATATTATGGGTTTATATTATCTCTAAGACATTGTTAAGCCTATGGGTAGTGGTAATTTTTCTAATATTCTTCGTTCTAGTGGTCAAAATATTTTATTTTCACAAAAATATTTTGATGTTTTATCAATTTCCTCCAAAAATTATGACATTTAGGGTTATAAAATCTAAAGTACTGCTTTGATTTTAATAATTCTATTTTCATATTATACAGCTGTTATCCCTTTATAAATTATACATTGAGACCATCTCTATATTTCTTATGGTTTCGCCAAAAACATATACATTTGGAATCACGTGACCAATATTTAAAATCAGCATATCAGCATGTCACGTTTATATGAGGCTATTGAATGCTTTTACAGAATTTAATTATCTCTTATAGTTTAAGATATATAACGATTTTGCCGTGTACAAGATTAATTGAACGCCTTTATAATAATTAATTGAACGCCTTTATAATAATTAATTCAATATATAATTAATATTTGCTATTATTAAAACTATTTCTTAAAGATTTACTGTAGTTTTAATGAAATATTATTGATCAATTATATATTTATCTAATTATGTTATTAATTCTAAATATTAGATTAGATTAAATATAAAAAGAATTAATGTCGTGGAGAGTGTATGGGGAAGTGAATCACTTGTTAAATTACTGTTGGTCACATGCGATTATACTTATACTGTGTATTAAAATATTGTATAATTATCTTATTAAGCTCTAACGGTTAAGTATTTACTGTAAAATAATTAGATAATTGTAAAATATAAATTACCATGTTTAGTAATTAACAAAGTTTTATTTATTATATTTTTACACCACTAGAGAGTGAATTAAAACCATTGAAAGCAAGGGTTAAGCGGTGCGAGTGATGGAGCGAAACGACATGATATACGTCTGGCATCACAGCAGCGATGCAGAGCCCGACCACTGCCTCCCAGACCTGTCCATGAAGTACAACATTCCCAACCTTACAGTACTCTCCAAATACACCTACAAGTTATACACATCATCACAGGTACATTTGAATTATGGCATTGTAATGTTTGTATAGCATTTACATATTTAATACATTTAGTCAATAAAACAAGCAATTAATTTATAAGTTTTCAAATAATTATTAATAATAATGATTACCTTTAATTAATATTTACTAACTAAATGCAAATTCTTATATTTATTTTATTGCTAGCAAGTAATGGAAAATTTAATTGACATCGAGCACAATGATTATGTGCATTAAGGGCGTGCTTAGCAACAAGTTTATTATAACGGGCGATGGCACTGAGGACAGTCCAATGGTCGTATTCATCGAGTTATATGTATTGTCACGTGTAAAACCGCCCTCGTATAAAACGTACATTAATGATGTTTAATTACAGGGGTTAATTATGCAATACGTTAGCGCGTGATTCAAACAATGAGCAACGGTTTTACTGTGAGTTCCCTTCGCGTTCTTTTTTGACGCTCTAACCAAATGGCTACCCGTTAGGTACACTCGACGCGAAAGTGCCGGGTAGTGGTCGCAAGCGCTTTTATAGGCTCGGCGGCACGGACGGCTATCGTCACCTTGCGGAGCCGCTGTTATTGGCGCGGCCGATGTGCTCCAATCGGCCTTAATCAAGCAATACTCGTCGCTCGAGTATTGCTTGTAATGCTTGTGTCTGAGGTTCTAATTCCCTACCGCACTTACTTGACTCCGGTAGCTTTTGCGCT